TATGTACTATGGATCATGATTTAACCTATTCATGTTAGCAGGGCAGAATTGTGAGCGCCTCCCACAAGCTGAGCACCGAGATGCGATGCAGTGATCCTGCCCAGCACCGACTACAAGAGGCACCGCGTGAGGCTACGGGGATCGGAGTGAAACTGTGAGTAAGGGAAGCTGGGACGGGGCTGGCTGTAAATCTATTGCTATAGTGTACTGGACGTGTGTAATGTATATGTAGTACATATATACAGCACACACCTCCACTACACTCCAGCAATAGAGTTACAATTCTCTCCTAACATGAATAGGTTAAACCATGATCCATAGTACATAACATGTAGTTGTACTATGGATCATTTAAAGTCACCTAGCCCTTTAAGAAAAAGTATCGGTAATTGGTATCGGCAAGTACATGAGGGGATGTACTTGTACTTGGGCCTGAAAAAGTGGCATCGGGACATCCCTAATTATTAACAATATATATTAATCGTGAATCAGAGTGAACAGTGTGCAGTTGCCATTTCTTTTCATATGTTAGCTAAATATAAGTCCTAATACATCATCAAGGCATTCCATCTGAAATATATCACAAAGTCAAAAAACACCTGTCTCAGAAGCCTTTGATGGAAGCCGTGTACAGAGCCTATTCAACTTCATCTGTAATGACGCCACTGGCCTGTGTTTGTAGCTAGCCTGTTAGTCAGAGAACACCAGCTTTCATCAAAGGCTTCAACCTTTTTTTTTTGGCTTTGTTATAGATTCAATAATAATGCATTTTCAAAAATCACATAGCATTTTGATTCATGTTATACCTCTACTGAACCCAACAAGAACCAAGTTTCTTATCCAGGATGACGAAACAGTCAATACTACAAACATTTGAAACATAACATTATTTTATTTTTAGATCGAAATTCCTCCCCTGATAATAATTGCCACAGATTTGCTACAAGTAAATGATGAATATCTGTACGTCAAGCCATATGTTATTGTCACATCACAACATATGTTATTTTACTTATAAACAGATAAACTAGAAATTCCAAACCATTGGAATGTTCTATGCTTGGAGAACACTATGTCCCCAAGTTTATGCTCTATACATCCACTCATGTTGTCTGCATTTATTTACCACGTCAGAAAGCTTCAGAGACCGACTGCAACCCACAATCGGAAGTCTCACCAGTATTTTATTACATCCTTAAAAATGTAATTGCAAGGGAAGCTTCCTAGGGCTTATACTGGATGTAGACACTGAAGCTTTCCTCAATAGAACACTGTGTTCAGGTAATTATAATGAAGGTTGACTTTCCCAAATCAGGAATCAATCTGGAAAGTCCATGGTGAAACAAACAGCTATTTCTTCAGAACACAGTCTGCTGTGCACTGGTATTTCTTACTGCCTACTTCCCTGCAATGCATACTGATCACTGTACTTTCCTTATGCACTGACACTACATATTGCCGACTTCCCTGCACTATTCTATATACCAGGCACTGCCACTGGAAACCACTTACTGTCCCTCACTGCCACTGCACTTCATTGCACTGCAGACAGCTAGGTGTTACTGCTACATGCATGGGATCAGTACTTACATTTATCACTATGTATATCTCTTTGAACTCAGGGCCGGATTTCCCACTAGGCCGAACAAGGCCCGGCCATGGGGCAGCAGGGAGTAGAGGGGCAGCAGGGGTGTGGAATTCCTAACTCCCAATGCCCAGGACATGCAGTTCTGGGGGCCGGTCAGGTAGTTGTTTTCTACATTTAGCCCTGCTTTGGGCAAGCAGAGCTAAATGCACAGCGAGGAAGCCGCCACTTGTTTTGTACAAGTGATCTCGGCTATGTCGCCAAGATCACTTGTATGCAGCCTGTTGGTCTGCCATTCTCCATGGGGGGGAAAGCTGCACACTGTAGCAGGTAACCAGTGACAGAGTATTTTGGAACACCTGAAAACAGCTAGAGAGACACAAGCCTCAATAAAACATTAGTTTATAATGGCCCCCAGCTCAGCCATTTCCCCACACAGGTCACACCAACTAAGCTCCCACGAGAGTTACTGTATATTTTTGAGGGCATCTCTGACAGACTATAGCCGGAAAAATAAACATCCTCGTCTACAATAGAAACCTGTTGATACTTTCTTATATCAATTACTGTATAAAGAGATCCAGCTAGACAGAATAATCTCACTACATCGAATATGTCAATACTGTATATAAGCTCTATACAGAAATGCTGAGTTCAGCTGCTCAGAAATATACTCCTTTCAGCTGAGAACAATGAAAGCAATATTATTTATGACACACTAAAAGTTAAAGAGCAATTCCGGGCAACAAGCTAAATCAATCAAATAACTGTTAATGCTATCAAGCATCACTGCATTGAAGTTAGAAAGTCCTCTCTATTTACTTTATTGTGATTATATGCAATCAACCGCGTGCAGATTTCACATATAGGGGTACGTTGATCTGAATTCTGAATCTGTACAGTGTAATTTTCATATTTCAACTTGCTGCATCTCTATATAGATTTAATCTTCTAAAACAGGATCGAATATAATTGATGGCTGCATATAACTAATGATATGCTGATACATGAGGTTTTTTTATGTGAGAAACGAAAAAGGGTGTGTTTGTGAATACTGGTTCCACTTTACAACCAGGTAAGTGAAAGGAGTTCCCAGATCAACGCCACAAGAGAGGAAGATAGGCCCACTACAGCTATGCCTGGGTGAAAAATGGAGCAGTTGTGCTGTATTTCATGCATGGCAGCGATTATTCTTCAATCATAAATGGTGTGTACCTT